AGCAAAATGGGCTATACAATCGAGTAGTATTCTGCCTTAAAAAAAAAAGAAATTTTGATATATGCTACAATATGGATGAAGCTTGAGGACATTTTATTAAGTGAAATAAATCAGTCACATAAAGATACATACCTTATGATTCCACTTATATGAGGGACTTAGAGTAGTCAAAAATCATAAAGAGTGACTTCTTTGTTGTCTGCCACCTTCCAGAGCTCAGGTGGTTAGACCACAAACCACTACTCAATATCACTGCCACCAATGTGGAAACTAAGTGGTGGCCCACAAATCAATACCAGAAATAGGCTACGAGAAATAGAAACAGAGTCATAAACAAACAAAAAACACAGATGTTGAAGAAGTCAGCAAGCAGAGCCCTGTTGCACCATCCCGAAATTTCTACCGGCCCTTGTCTGCATGAGAACTCTGCTAAGTATGTCCTTCTAGGGGAGCACAGTTGGTTAGATCTCCTGAGGCCATCTGTACCTGCATGGGCCTGACTCTTTAAACAGAAGGCTCCAGAAAGAAGCATTATAAAGAGAAAATAAGTGTTATTTGCAATTTTCCAGAGGTTCTGGACTTAGAAAGCTGGTTCAACCAGTCTTACATACAAGTATTTAAAGGATACACACACACACACACACACACACACACACACACACACACGTATGCCCAGAGGAAAGGGTAGCAGAGTTACAAGGTTGCAGTTAGTCTGTCATTGATGGATATACTATATATTGTTCACACAATGACCACAGTGACAGGATCTCCACTGGTGTTCTCATACCAGTACTGCTGATCAGAAGTAAAGCTATTTTCATCAGAGACTAAGTAAGTCAGAATAAAGGACCTAAATATTCATTTCTATTGGGAACTTAAGCAAAACAAGAGTGATCTGTTGATGGGTGGTGGTGCTGGTGGTGATGAGGTTGTTTGTGTTGTTTCGATCTGAGGGAGCATCATGCTTTTCTTTTTTTAACATATTATTCCCTGACGGTGGATGATGGCGAGCATGTTTCTTGCAAATGAGGCCAAGGTGTCCACTCTGCTCGCACAAATCTAGGTGTCTTGTGAACTTGATGAGCAGCTTCTTGCCTTAATGGGAATTCGTTGTACTACTCTTTCATACAAGGTTAACTCATTTTGCATGGTTTTCTTGTGCGTGAATAATTACAATAGAAACCTCACTTGTCCATTATTATTAAATTCTAAAATGCGCTTGGTTTTCACTACCCACCTCATTGTCCCAGCTAGAGACTCCTGAATCCTCGCCTCCATCACCCCCAGCATTTCACTTGTCAGTTTCATCTTACAGTTCTCCTTCATGACTGCTATCCTGTCCCTGACCCTGGGCCACCTCTGTGGTCACAAGTCCTTGATTTGTCCTGATATACTACAGTTGCCTGTTAAATGGCATGAATCATTCTATGACTTTCAGTCTGTGCCATACTGTTCACTTATTTTTAAACCAATTAAATCCAGAGAAAGGGGGGAGTGGTTCAGTCTGCCGTGGGTGCTGGTGCCACTGGCCTTTCTGTGGGCCTCAGCAGTTCATCCTGAGACAGGAAGCTCCTCTGCCTCCTGCCAGACTCAATCTCAAGGTGAGGCCTGTCTGCTTATGATCTCCTTGCATCCATACAGCATCCCAATGTGCCACAGGGGTGCTGCTGGGCTCCGGTGCCCTTGATGCCCCAGGGCCTTTGCAGAACCTCCAACATTCCTCCTCTTGGTTCCTGAAGAGATGGCATCCATCTGGCATCCATCTCCTCCTTAGCCAAAGAAGAAATTACCTCGATTCACTTCTCTCTTAAACCAAACTAAACCAAAAAACCTTTGATCCCCTTCACGGTGTTAGGCTGTGAAAATTGCTGTTGGACTCACCCACCTTGGAAATTTTCCTCATCACCCCTGTGGCACAAAAAGGGAATTAGTCCCTAAAGAGGGAGAACTCCTTTTACCTCTGAAGAACTCTCAGACTGTAGAGACCTGAAAGCTTAAAAGCTGGGGTGGCGGGTGTCAAAATTCCTCTTGTTAGTAGCAAGAATGGCTTTTTCGCTCTTTCAGTTGTTTAGAAACTTAAGGAACAAAGGAAGTATGTGACATAGAACAATTATGGGCACAAATTATCTTGAATTATAATGCTTACAATTTAAGTAGAAGTTCAGAGACAGAGGATTTTATTGTAAAGAAAAAAACCACGTGTTTCTCCAAACTTCAGTCTTTCTATTCTGGAACCTTCCTTCCTTTTTTTTGTTTTTTTGTTTGTTTGTTTGTTTGTTTGTTTGTTTGTTTTGAGAGAGAGCACATGAGTGGGGAGGGGCAGAGGGAGATAGAGAATCTTAAGCGGAATCCACGCCTAGCATGGAGCCCAACGTGGAGATGGATCTCATGATCCTGAGATCATGACCCGAACGGAAACCAAGAGTCACCAGGCGCCCCTGAAACTTTCTTCTTCTTGAGGCACCAGAATTCTCTTTGTAGATCTTGGGGCTCCCCTGACCTATGGAACAAATCCGGAATGTTCACTTCCTATATCAAGCCTTCCGTGGCAAACCCGGTCCAACCTGATGTCTCCCTTCCCTGGACTCCTGTCATTATCCTGCCACAGAAGGTCGCTTGTGGCTGTAATTATTCTGTGTTCCTGTTTTCTTTTTTTCCCACCCAATTAGCCTCCAAGTTTATGAACACAAGAAAAAAAAAACCTATTCTTGCTACCCAGATTTCACATGAAGATAGGATTCTATTTCTAGTACGAGAAGACAGCTTTTCTCCGCAACAGAATTGAAGGCTAAAATGATTGTATGCCCTTAAAAGAACGAATAAAATTTGTCCAGAGGTCTTCTGCTCTATGGAATAATTTTGCTTGATTTGTTTCTCCAGTTGGATAGTCAAAAATATAAATTAAAGTGTATCCTTCCAAATAGGCTAATAAAGAGACTAAATGAAAAATCTCCACTTGTCCAGTAAAATGTCAGTGAACTCTATTGGAAATATTAGAAATAAAATCATTCTAAAGGGTTTCTTGACGGGTTATGACCAGTTATATACAGTCGTGACTCCTCTCATTTTCCATACCAGTATGGCACCCCAGGGCAAGTCGGAGAGGCCACTCTGGGGGAGGGGGAAGCAGCTGCCTGCGCCCCCGATGAGGACACCTCACATTTCATTCACTACTCATGTATTCAGAAAACATGCAGGTTGAATCCACACCTTCAAATTTATCTGATATAATTCTTCAAATGGCAGTAACAGCAAAAACTGAAGAAGGCTACAGCTGAATCTTCTTTCTCTTTGCGTTTTTGCTTTCATCCTCAGTGATGTTCAGGGTCACAAACCAGTTCTCTGTACTCGATTGGGAGCATGAATGCTCCCCGGATGCATAGTGATTCAAACAGTTTTCTGTTTCCTTTCTCTCTCACTTCCCTTAGGAAGAAAAAATTTAAGACCCCATTCATCCATTTACTCACGTCCATAGAACTCAGGTTTGCCCAAGAGAGTCTGTGCAGGTTAATGAACTGATGACGTCCCAACATGCTGAGCTCAGCAAAAGTAAACTCTTAGCCAGAGCTGAGTGTGATTTCATGATAAACAAATACAGCAAGTTGCTCAGAGGACTGCCCAGGCACAAAGGATCGTCTCCAAACCATTTTAAGTATTGTCTTTAGGGGGGAAAAAAGGGCTACATTTGGAAGTTTTCAGGCAAACCATTTTTGTCAGAAACCAAGTGAGTGAAGATACTTTCCTATTTCAGTAATTTAGACATCAGCATTTTTTTTCTGTCCAAGCTAAAATAAGCTACCTAAACATAGGGTAAGAGCAGATACCAAAATTACAAGGGTCTGTTTTATTTATTAATGCCTGGAATGGAGATATCCCTGCCTTCCCCTATGAGTTTCCTCAGGCATCACACACCAGAGGATTAGATAACCAATGAGTCTCTTCTTTAGAGACATGTATGGAGGCAAAACATTTCAGATGGCTTTCAGGAACTAGCTAAACATGTCCGATTAGGGGATGGGAGACAAGGAAGGACTTTAGCTTTGGACACATGCCAGTTCCATCTGAAAAATTTAAGCACAGCCAACTTTGCTACAGGCACTCATTTACTTAGTTGCAGAAGTAAATTAATGGAACAGAATTGGAAGCTGCAGGTGGAATGAATTAATGTCTTGCAGGGTTATTGGTAATGCCCAAAATGCTTTGTAAACGAAAAGTACTCCATAAAGATGTCATCTTAAGTACCTTTATCACTGGGAGTAGCAAGATTAATAATGAAGAAGCAAGTCAAGGAAGCAAAGTTGGATATTATTTTCTTTGTTTTTCATGCAAAGGGGAATGTGTCAAATTAGTAAATGTTATATGGTAGAGCCATACGATAAATCCCATCAAGGAGACAGGCGGCTCATTGGGTTATCCTGGTTCAAAGGACACCTAGCTATACATTATTTGTAAAACCTTTCTCCCTTGCTTTAAATGTTTCTCTTTGTTTCATATGGGCCAGAACTCAGGAGTTCTGTATATGATCATGAACTACACGTATTTGTGGTTTGACTCTTACTTGTTAAATAGTTCACCTCCCAGTGTAGTTCCCATCGAGGTAATGTTGCAGTTATGTCAGTAATCCTCGTGGGTTACATGCTGTCCACACATTTACTCATTTCATCTTTGGAACAGCCTTGTGACATAAGTACCATTATTGTTCTTGCTTTACAGGTTTTAAAAAGCTGAGGCTTATAGGCATGATGTAACTTGCCCAGAAATTCCATCCCACATCCATCTAGCCCCAAAAGTCTACACATTCACTATGAGGAATATCTGTTCTCTGTGTGTGTTCACAGTCACCCAACAGAGAATATTAAGTGATGAGAAATGGACAATACTGCATTCGTGTGGCCTTCCGTGTCCTCTTTTTCTCCCCTACCCCTACCTTCCTCTCTGCCCTCTTCCTCCATTTTGGCCTCATTTCAACTCTTCCCTTGACTTTTTTTTTTTTTCCAAAGGCAAATATGCCATGCGAGACCTCGTCCACAGGCTTCCAGGTGGGAACAACAGCAACAATGCGGCAAGTAAGGCCATGTCGGATGACACGGTGACAGCCGTCTGCTGCACCCTACATGAAGTGATCACCAAGAACATGGAGAACGCCAAGGCCTTACGGGATGCTGGCGGCATTGAGAAGTTGGTTGGCATCTCCAAAAGCAAAGGAGATAAGTAAGTCGGACAGAGACTTCGTATCTCTGTAGAATTTGGCATTGGTAGAATTAGTTGTAAGTGTGCTCAACGTCCAATTGGTTGTGGGTAACACGACTGAATGTCCCTGGAAAACACTTGTCTCTGATAATCAAGAGAAGGGAAATAGCATATGGTTTCCAGTCTTCCCGCCCCATGATGAAAGCTGATCTTCCTGATAATTTCAATTTGATGAATAACTCATGACTTGGTGACTCCTGTGTTACTAAGGTAAGAGAGGCTTGACATTCCAGCATGCACACACTAGTGTGTTCCTCCAACACGGACTAGACAACCAGCTTAACCTGAGTATGTGAAGGTGTTTTGTGGTTGCTGTTCCTTTGTGGCTGCAGGTCCAAGTATGGATGACAGGTCCACATCCTTTTGTCCTTTGCTTCTTCAGCTGTGCATAGCAAGTCATGCAGGGAGAGTGAGGGTAGCAAATGGTTGGGGGGAGTCAGCGAGATCTCAATGCTGACCCACCATCCTCCTGTGTTAGCTGTACATTTGGGGCAAATTGTTTAATTGAACGAGGCACTATGCCTATACTTTCCAGTCTAAAACTGAGGAAAAGGCCATCATAATATCCTAGAAGAAGTGATAATCAAATCTTAAAGGATGAATAGAAGTTTTCCAGGCAGAGCGGCCGGTGGTGAGGAAGGACTTGTTTGCAGGGGGCATAAAGAGAGATAAGGCTCTGTGTCCAAGCAACTGCACCTCCAAGAATGGAATTGTCCCCAGTTTGATGTAAGAATCAATGGTATTTGCTACATGCAACCTAAACATATCTACAGCAGCCAGAGTGTCTTTATATCAGCAAGCTGTCAGTGTTACAGAAACATTCACAAACCTTAATTAAATGTTGCCTCCTAGAAATCCCTCAATGTAATCAATGAGATTAAGAGGGTAACCTTTTGTTATCAGAGGTCTACTTCTTGACTTTTCATTCCCTGCCTCCCTCATTTCTTTACATCTAAATGCCAAATAATTTTTCTTCTGTTGTTCAAGGCTGTGACGGGGGTGCTTTGAGACTTTTTGGAAAATTCTCACATTATTTCATTTGATTCAGGATATTACCATTGTGTTAGAAAAGAAGTCTCAGCTTTCTATGTAAGCACCCTGATACCTCCCACTAAGTTCAGTCAGCAATTTAGTATTAGTATTCAAAAACTTTTTGATATCAAGTAGAGGAGCCCCATTGGACTCATGTAATAATGGTGCAAGGTGGAGGGTTGGTTTGAATTATGCGTTGTTCTGTTGGACATCAGATAAATGGCTGTTCTACATAGACAGCAGACCACATAGTCTTCTTCTTCACATACCTTCAGTAGAACCTTGGAATCTCTAATGAAATGCTTTTCTGTTTTGAGCATTAAGAGCTTAGTATGTTAATGCTTTTGTTAGCAAATACACACAGGCAATGAAACCATCGTCCACAGAAATGCTCTGACATATTTGTGCATATTGGTGAGATATTCAAAGATTGTTTTCTCTGAACTGTAAGACTAGAGAGTTTGAGGGGTGGTCTGGTATATATTAATTTCTTCCACCTGTTTGGGCATTGCTACAGCAGTAAACATCCTTCAGTGGGCCTTAAAGAGAAGAGAGGCTTTTATCAGTCCTGTGGTAAAAGAAAATTACTTGGTGAAACTAATTCAAAAGTCATTTGAGGAAACCATCCATGAAAGAGCGTATATCCATGTTGCCAATCCAGAAAATGGTCCTATTAGGTCTTGTGCAATCTTGATTAGTGTTAATGGGAAGTTTCTTCCACAATGGATGATCTCATAACTGTCCGCTGATTTGACTGGAAGTTTCTTTAAGGAATAGTGACATGTTTCATCTCATTGCTGTTTGACCATTTTTTCCAATGTTAATAGTCAAGATTTACACCAAGTTTAATGAGAAGTGTTGAATTGGGTAGAGTTAGGCATCTTCCCAGTTCTCTTGCTTATCTCATCCATTCTTCGATGTGGCTTACCTCTTTTTCCAGGATTTATTTATTTATTTTAAAGGGGCATGGGGAGAGAAAGTAGGGGTAGGAGCAGAGGAGAGAGAGAAAGAGAATCCCAAACAGACTCCATGATCCATGCAGAGCCCAAAACAAGGTTTGATCCCATGACCCTGAAATCACAACCTGAGCTGAAATCCAGAGTTGGTGCTCAACCAACTGGGCCACCCAGGTGCCCCTTAACTCTTTTGTATATAATGACTAATTTGAGGATCAAAACAGGTTTTTATAACTGCAGATAGCCTCATCTCCTGCCTACACTTCAATTTGTTATTGCTTCTCAACAGCCTTAAAAGGAATCCAGAAGAATTATTCTGAATCTTAACACAAAACTCACCACTTCACTCAATTCTGTTATGACATGGGTCACTGAGATTCCCAAGGCCTTCTGGACATATTTCAACGAAATAGGAATTCTTTCTTGAAAAGAGAGTTTTTGAAACTGGGGATTAGTTAATAACTAGAAAAAGGAGGGATAGCCGTTTGCTCTAGTTAATTTATAAAATCCTTGCAAATATGTGCTCCCTAAAATGTCCTTAAAGAATTATTATCAGACATAAGTTTAATGATTTTAAAATTTCAGATAGCAGGATAAAATGCAGGGGGAAAAATGTGCCTATCTGTGATTCTCCATTTTTAATGCATTTGTGTGTTTCCTTTCTAAATATACACAAACTTAAATATGCCATGCTATTAATGAATCAGACTAGTGAGGTGCCAGGCACAGTCTGTTTGAACTGTAGCTTGCTAATACAGCTGCCAGGACTGGGGTGAACACCCATTACCAATTGCAACAACTGATATCCTCAGTCACCCCTAATTTCTCAACTTAGTGAACATCAGATATTGTGATCTTGTAGGAATCTTATACTACCATTTTCATGTGTTGATAACTTAAATTGTTCTTTTCACATCATTTTAAATACACATTTATGGACATTCTGTCACATCCATTTATTTCAAAAGTACATTTGTGTTTTTTCTAATTTTAAAAATTATATAGGAAATAGTGTGTTGAATGTGTCACTGTATTTTGTCATAAGACTGAAAAGCTGTTAACATTCTCAACTGTTACTTGTCAGTAAGGAACTGTATATTGTGGCTTCGGCTATAGTCACTTGTCACATTAGAAACTCTCAATTGTTCAAGTCCTTCAGTCAGCAGTTATAGTTGTTCAAGCAGAAGTTGCTATGGTACCAGTCTAGTGATGGACTTTTAAAGTCTAAAAAAAGCAATGTTTGTTTGACCTTCACATGCTAGTATGACGCTGTAGTATATTGGCATTTTAATTGAGAGGTTAAAACCCAATATTCATTACACATTCATAGTCTTTTTCTATTTTGTAACTAAGCAAGAAGTAGAACAAAAATTACACTGTTTTCAAGGAATTTTTGCATACTAAGTATGTCTCAACTACCTTACCACTACCTGAATATTCATGTATGTTCCTCAAGAGTTGCTTGACTATTGTCATGGATAAATAACTAGCTAACAGTGATAAAATACAGCAAAACATAACAGCATTGTTCAGCATCAATTTCATAAGATTAACATGTCCCTGCAGCTGCAAACATGAAAAGCTCTAAAAGTCTGTCTTTAAATCAAAGGAATTTAATACTACATTTAGAGCATGACACTAGCATAAATTATACAGTCATTGAGTGGCCATCCATTTTAGTAAAGGAAAATACATATGTTACTTAGATATAGTTCATCTTTCATAGAGAAAAAAAGTTTGGAATTTACTTTCTTTTCTCCTTTAAAAGTACATGATATATGCAACAATGCATGACTTGTTGAACACTACATCTGAAAGTAGTGATGTACTATATGTTGGCTAATCGAATTTAAATTTAAAAAAAAGAAAACCAAAAGTAATAAATGAATGAATGAATGAATAAATAATACATGATATGACTAGCATTTTCAAACACAGCCAAGTTGAATTCCATCTCAGCAATAAAAATAGGAAGAATGATTGTTACTATTACCAGTAAGTAGATGGAGGAAGGAACCTTAAGCTTACTTGGTCTAAATTGCAAGCTCGAAGATCCAGGAATGTAGACACACATCATGGACCATTTATTAACATCGTATAATTCCAATCCAACGTGCATAGCTTCACAACAGCCACTTAGTCTGGCTCTGGAATCCAACCTCAACCTCATCCCATCTCACCATCTGCTCACTTTCTATTTCAAAAGCCATTTTATTTCAAAGGCATTTTTGGTCTCCATTCAGATTTTCCCTTCTGGGAGTCCTTGGGCGGCCACAACACTGGTCATCTTCAGGTGTGGTCTTTACATTGGGGTCCTTGTGAATGGTTATGTCCTGCCTGATTCTAGGCATCACCATACACATAGACTGGGGATCAGCAATCTATGGCCCAGGGGCCAAATCCCACCCACCTCCTACCTATGTAAATAACATTTGCTGGGAATGCAGCCATCTCCACTCACTGACATATTATTTATGATGCCTCTCATGCTACAGTTGCAGAGCTGAGTAGCTGTGATCGAGACCATATGGCCCCCCAAAGTGGAGAATATTTATTATCTGACCCTTTAGGAAAAAAATATGCCAGCTCCTGAGACAGGCCGTGGTGTCACTGGCAACCAGTAGAGTTGTGCAGCTGGTTGTGGAATGAGCTATTAGAATAGAGCATCTACAGGTAATTAACAGTTTCCCTGTTCAAATTCCAAGGATCTGATCAAATGAAATCAACATTACCTTATGGACCTCATGTCTTTTTTTTAATTAATTATTTTTATTAACGTATAATGTATTATTTGCCCCAGGGGTACAGGTTTATGAACCGTCAGACTTACACACTTCACAGCACTCACCATATCACATACCCTCCCCAGTGTCCATAACCCAACCACCTGGACCTCATGTCTTTTTTAAGATACAGATGGGCACTGACCCCAAAGTCAAAATATTGAGCTAGCATTGCATAGCGATTTTGAAGCCATGACTTGAGAAAATGCTAAGCACCACTAGTCCAAAGGTTTATGTGATTTTAGTTTCTCCCCATGATCCACAGGATGGAACTTTAATTGCACGCAGGGCTTTATCTATAGATGTTCCTTTATCTATCCTTTATCTATAGATGTGTTTCTCTGTATAAGTGTAAGAGAGGATGTGCACACCTCTTCCTCTGCTGCCCATCCCTCAGGCAAATGGAGAGCAGTTCCCCATCACCTCGCAGGCATGTAGAGCCAACACTCTATATGCCCTCCTGCTTCAGTTGAGAAAATGAGTATTTTGTTTTCTTCTTACTACACAGATGTTACACAACATAGCCATTAAAACACCCAACCCTGACCCTTACTGATCACTATTTTTCTCTTCTTTCTGTTCTACTACATCTGCATTCAGACTCAAGGCTCTGCTCTTCCTTTTCCATTTGGAAAATCCTTTGCCAAATTGAATGCATTCCTCTCTCTTGCCCTCATGGGTGTGTTGAGGAGAGTAAGGTTGCAGACTAGTAGACCATCCCCGCACTCCCCCTACTGAGAAGGAGCCAGAGGCCATCAGGACATGATTCCTATAAATTTTGTAAATTCCTGATGAGTCAACGTCTGTCTGAAGCCCAGCTGCCCCACTTCACCACCTTACATGTCTTGTTGTTTCTTTTCCAGACACTCTCCAAAAGTGGTCAAGGCTGCATCTCAGGTCCTAAACAGCATGTGGCAGTACCGAGATCTGAGGAGTCTCTACAAAAAGGTAATGTTTGTCTTACCTTCTTGCTTCATGGTTCACACAGGCCCTGAGACCACAGACCCAGTATTGGATCATAACAAGGTGCATCATAGATATGGAAAGGACTTGTCCAACAATCTGAGTAACTGAAACACAACTAAAGCAAGACAATCAATGAAGAAGCAGAAGCGAGGGTCACTAAGTGTCCCTGGACAGACACTAAAATCCATGAATCTTCTGGATTGGACAGACCCATGCTCATAGGGTCTTACCCTAGATTGTCCTATGGAAAAGGAAATAAGCATCTTTTCCTCAGTGTCCATATTATACAATAGACTAAAAATTAATGAACTGAGTAATTTTGCAAAAAAAAAAAAAAAAAAAAAAAGCATAGACATTGGCAATAATGTTGGAGAGAAGGTGAAAAAATATGTATATATATGGCAATTCAGGAAGCTGAGAAGTATCACAGCCCAAGAATAAGGAGGAGAAGACTTGATAGCTGGCCCTATATGCCTAGCCCTGACCCTCACTGAGTCACTACCCATGGGGAGAGGGCTGATGTTCCTGATGGTGGCTGCATATTAGGGGAAGAAGCTGGGCATTTGTCCAGCACACTCTCAGGAGTCAGGAGGGAGTTTATATTATACATTTCACAGGGATGTTCATCTCCAAAATGGCTTAAAAATAAAATCATCAAGGAAAAATGTCACATCTAGACACTTTTATTCTATACCTCATTTCCAGGGGATGCTAAATAAAGGGTATGTAACTCTTTTCAGTTAGAAAGGGAGAATTTTTTTAACAGTATATCCAGAAGTTGTTTTTATTGTGATCAGACTGGCAAATGTGGGTAGTTTAAAGGACTCATGAACACATGATAGATTTGAGGGAACAGATAGGCATAGAGTGCATCCCTAGTCACAGGGAGCACCCTGTAGGCTTGGGTCTTGGTAGGGAGTAGAAAACCTAAGCAGGTCTGGGAGAGGGCCCTGGGCTTCCTCACCAACTGCCCAGAGCACCTCCTTGCAGCCCCCTGGCCACCTCCATGGAGGAGGAGAGGGAGCCAAAGTCACTGTTTCTTTCATCCCCTGCCTATGAGTGTCGAGGTGGGCATATGGGAATGCTGCAAGAGGTTCACACCACAGAGAGTAAGACCCATCTTGCCAGAGGGAAAATCTGTCTTTTTCTAAGCCAGTGGGAAACAGTAAATATTTAATAATGGGTTTTACTAAGTTAGAGTCTTTTTCTAGACTTTCCCCTAGGCCTTTCTATTTCCCTTATGCTCTCATTACTTTGCACTTTTTTTTTTTTTTAACAAATTTAGCCTATATATTTCTCTTTCAAGATTCTCCCATTTGTTAAGAGCAAGTATGTTTATGTTGAGACAGAGATGGCAAAATAGAGTGTTCGGGGAGTGTTGTAGATAGATTATATCCTTTTCTAAATATTTTGCATGTTGGGATAAGCCCTTCTCTCAGTTGTTTTGAGTCACATTTTGTTTTGCTTGAAATTCGCATCCCAGTGTCCCTACTTAGTTCCTTCATGGACTCCTCCAGGAGCCGAATGAGTTCTTTCCCAGGGCAGGATCCTTCAGCTTAACAGGCAGCTGGACAAGAAGAACTTGATATAAATGAGAAGGGAACTGGTTGTTCTGAGTCACTGGCTCCAGAAGCTCGAAGAAATATTACTGCCTCAAATAAGCTCCACTTTCCCTTGGATCTTGAACAGTTCTTTGCTGAAATACACCTTACCCTACTTATGTGCATTGAAGGGAAACTGCTTTTAGAGACTCCACAAGTTATTTGTTGAATGGTAGTGTGAGTTTTCCATCTTAGTTTTTTTTCTAGGTTGGTAGTAGAGTTCAAAAGTGTAATTGTCTTTTTGTTTCCATGAAGAAAAAGAATGTGTTGACAGGAATTTAATGGAGCTAAAAATCAAGAGCTCAAGATGGTTTAAAATGTGTTTCCTGTGAGGACGTTCAAGGAGGATGATCTGGAGAAACCAATGCTGATGTTTTCAATGGACCCATAGTGATGTTTTTAGTTGACCTTTGATTTAAAAAGGTGGAGAAAGAGCCGTTCTTAATAATTTCCAAATTATGCAGTTGTGAAATGAAATGAGGACCTTTATGCTCAATATCATAATAGCAAAGATCAAAATTCTCAAGAGCTTTTCTTTTTGAAAAATCCTTTGGTAAGAAGACCAAATTCATTCATCCTTATGAATTGTTGTTAATCAGTGGGGAAATAGATTTCCTTTTTGTTCTTCCTTGACAATTTACATATCATTAAAAAAAACTTCTGATCCATATCTTTTAATTCTCTATGCTTCAAATCTGTTTATTAAACATCTATTATAGGCTTAAAGAAAGAATAGTTTCAGGGAAAACCTAAGACAAGGAAGCAGTGAATGTGGGTGAAAATGAAGTATGGAATAATTACTGGTAACTTCATTAGTTTCAGAAACATGTTCTATAGACTTACTGGATGAATTAGGGATAGGAAAATTATCGAGCAAAATCTCGACGAATTCATGGAGGTTGCATAAATTAGGAGGTAAAGCTTAAGGGCATTATGCATAAGAGGAAAACTTGAGTAGGGAGAGAGAAATTGAAATGAAAATGGCATATCTATGGGACAGAATTAAAGGTTCCATCTGTCACTGGCTAATTTCCTCCCAGGACTCAGGCACAGTGGCCAGAATCTCATTTCATTAGCTCAATGACTTTATTTTACTATGAGAGACACATTTAAGAAATCAGAATATTCTTCCAACCAGGTGTGTTGACCAGTACAAAATTACGTTTGATTCCTGAGACATGGTGAGCAAAACATATTTGTGTTGTCTGAACCTTCAATTTCAGGGAGGCCTGGACTTCTGACTTTTCTCCCCTAAAGGAAAATATATAATTGCAGAAGAATGTTATCACATGTTTCATACACCACCTGTTGTTTTTTTTAACAAGTCCTTAAGTTTGGATAACCACAAATACAACCTTAAAAAATTTTTTCAGCTGCATCATCCCAAAGACTGTTTTCTAAAGGAAAATAAGATGACCCTTAGGAGCAGACTTGATACAGGGATGGAAGAGAAACTGGAGGTCATCAGTTCTTGACTTTTGGGAAACTATACTTTAAGAAAATGAGGTCACTCATATAATGGGGTGCTTATGTTTGACTAGGCTGAGGACTGTTGGGAGAGCTGGTTTTGGAAGAAAGGAGACAAAAATCAAGGAGAAGGAGACATAGAATTATAAGATTACAGAAATCATTGTTTGTAAACCCTTATATAAAACCTTGCCTTTGTAGGAGAAGTTCCCTATCTCATTCATCTCTCATTCCAGCCCACAAGGAGAGAGAAAGGGGAAGTGAGGACCAGTGATATCCTTGTAAGCAAGTGCTACAAAAAATTTCTGGGCTCCTGCTCACATCCCTGGACCAAGAACTCAGTCACATGACCACCCCCAGTTGCAAGGCAGGACAGGAAGAGTGGGCAGCCAGGTTCCTTGCTGAACTTTATGGCGGGAGGAAGGTGATTCCTTTACTGAAAGAAGAAGGCGATATCAGCTCCTATAGTCATTTCCTTGTGTTCAAATACATTTAATATCAATTGCATTCACCGTCTAATGAGGCCTATTATTCCATTTCAGGATGGCTGTAGTCATTCAGAACTTCTTACTTGCATTAAGTAAAAGTCTCTTTATCAGCAGCTTCCGCCCTCCAGTGCCATTCTGAAAAGTCTAATTTCTCTTCTCTGTGATAGCCTTCCTGCATTTGAAGTAGCCATTCTGTCTCCAAGAGGTCATCCCTGTTCAGGCCCAACATGCTCAGTTCTAATATATCAGCATTTCCACAACCTTCACCAGAGACACTCATGTTTTGCTACACCCATGCAGGTTTGTCAGATCCTTTCTGAAAAGTCGCACCCCAGGATGAGTATACTCTTCCAAATTTAGTTCAAGCAGAAGAAAGAGAGGGACACTGCTTCCCTGATGCGAGGCACTCACCTGCTAATGAGGCTTGAGAGCAAGCTGGTGCCGGAAGTATCCGATGAAGTACAAAAACCAAAGGACTTAGAATCAATGGCCAGAGATTCAACATACAGCATAACTAGGCAAGCTCCCTGCCTATCAGGTAGGGACTGACTTTGGGCAGCCTGTGGCGCCTTCCTGCTGATGGACAGTGGGTAGACTTTTGGTTCACTGGGCCTCATTGTCAGTGCTCACAGATGTGCTGGGGCATCTGGAATGTCCTCAGAGCCCTGTGGATTTGGGACGCTGGGGCCTCCTTGATGCCTGCCTTCTGCTTTGCATACCAGTCTGTAACTTTCAGCCTGGGTGTCAAAGACCCTTCACATCCTTTCATGGACATGGCGGGCATCTCCCCATCGGTCCCATCCCTGTCCCTTGCTTTTCTCAATCATGAAGTAAATGCCATGAAACATGGCCCGGTGGGATTGGTGGATTCGATTGGAAGGCGCCTGGGTGGTCGCTAAGTCCTGGGGGTCTGCACCATCGAGCCTTGCCCGGGCAGGTTCCGTCCTCAGCTTAAGGCTGCAGTGAGAACATATGAATAGAGGAAGAAAATTTCTTTTGGCCTCAGTTCTTGCTCTCCAGAATTCCAGTTTTACATATCCTTCATGTCAGAAGTGCTTCTCTCGGATAATCCTGGTCTCCAAAAGGTCTCATTGTCCAAAATGTGGCTCTACTGGTAAAGCTGAAAATACCAATTATAGATACAAACTTTCCTTAAAAGTTGCAGAATCTAACAAATTATTTGGCATTACTGTATTTGGAAGCTGCTTAGATGCATTTTTTGGTCTTACAGCCACTGGTTTGCACAGGTACATTCAGGATCCTAATGAAATTTCAGAAACACTGGACAATGATGCAATTCGGAACCTATTAACTAAAGCAGTTGAAATTTACTTTGTTGGACAAAGCTTTATTTTTGGAGTGACGGTAATTGAGACTAGCTTTCTTTTTAGTATTCTGTTAAACATTTTCATTGTAATAAAATAAT